TGATGGGGCACTATTCCTCCCACTGATTACCAATGATGGTGGCCACTTTCCTCCCACTGACACCAATGATGGGGCACTATTCCTCCACTGACACCAATGATGGGGCACTATTCCTCCACTGATACAATGATGGGGCACTTATTCCTCCCATGACACCAGGGATGGTGGCACTATTCCTCCCACTGTACAATGATGGGGCACTATTCCTCCCACTGACACAATGATGGGGCACTATTCCTCCCACTGACACCAATGATGGGGACACGATTCCTCCCACTGACACCAATGATGGGACATATTCCTCCCACTGACACCAATGATGGGGCACTTTTCCTCACCACTGACACCAGTGATGGGGCACTATTCCTCCCCATGACACCATGATTTCACCCCACGATGGGGCACACCATTCCTCTTACTGACACCAATGATGGGGCACTATTCTCCCATGACAACAGTGATGGGGCACTATTTCCTCCACTGACACCAATGATGGAGGGGCACTATTCCTCCCTACTGACACCAATGATGGGACACTTTTCCTCCACTGACACCAATGATGGCGGCACTATTCCTCCCACTGATACAGGGTACTGAAGTTTGTTGCCATTTCATAGGCGCACACAAATTTAAAGTTTAGCACGTGGATATCTATTTACTGGGCGCAACCTCGGTCTTTTATACTTTATCAAAAATGTGGGTAATTTATTGTCTTTATTTGCCATAAAATTCATTGGAATTTTGTGTATCCTAGACCTTTTGTGGTAATATCCTGTGACACAAAAAACATTGGAACTACCACCAGGGGTGGTATAATGCCCCATCATTGGTGTCCTGTGGGATGAATAGTACCCCATCATTAATGTCAGTGGGATGATAGTGCCCCATCATCGGTGTCAGTGGGAGGAATAGTGCCCCATCATTGGTGTCAGTGGGAGGAATAGTGCCCATCATCATTGGTGTCAGTGGGAGGAATAGTGCCCCATCATCGGCATCGTGTCAGTGGGAGGAAATAGTGCCCCATCATTGGTGTCAGTGGGAGGAATAGTGCCCCATCATCGGTATCAGTGGGAGGAATAGTACCCCATCATTGGTGTCAGTGGGGGGAATAGTGCCCATCATTGGTGTCAGTGGGAGGTAATAGTGCCCATCATTGGTGTCATTGTGGGGGGAAATAGTGCTCCATCATTGGTGTCAGTGGGAGGAATAGTGCCCCATCATTGGTGTCAGTGGGAGGAATAGTGCCCATTGGTATCATTGGTGTCAGTGGGAGGATATAGTGCCCCATCATTGGTGTCTGTCAGTGGGAGGAATAGTGCCCATCATTGGTGTCAGTGGGAGGAATAGTGGGAAGGAGGAATAGTGCCCCAATCATTGGTGTCAGTGGGAGGAATAGTGCCCACCATACACTAATGGTGGACCACAATATAATTGGCTCTTAAGACTCTGAAAGGTTTTTAGTGGAGATGGGCACCATAAATCCCTATAAAGAAATACATAAACATCCATAACATTAGTAGGCCCCTTGTTTGAACAACAATCCATCAACATTCTCACTTTCATGTATGAATTTTATACCAAGTGGACTTAATAAGTCCACATTAACCCCACGGTATGCAGATAACTGAAAAAAAGCATAATGATGGCTAAAAAAGAACCGCCCGAGATACTTTGGCAACCCTTATATACACTCCCCAGCCGCTTGTTCAATGGCTCGGTAACACAATTGCTAATCAGCCAATCACATGGCAGCAACTCAATGCATTAAGGCATCTAGACGTGGTGAAGAAGACTTGCTGAAGTTCAAACCGAGCATCAGAATGGGGAAAAGAAGAAAGGGGGATTTAGGTGACTTTAAATGTGGCCATGGGTATTGGCATATAAAAAAACTGCTGATCTACTGGGATTTTCATGCACAACCATCAGAGAATGGTCTGAAGAAGAGAAAATATCAGTGATTGGCAGTTGCGTGGAGGAAAATGTCTTGTTGAGGTCAGAGGAGAATGGGCAGACTGGTTCCAGATGATAGAAATGCAACAGTAACTCCAGTTATTCCCTTCCGTTACAACCCAAGGTATGCAGGATATACCATCTCCCAACATGTCCAACCTTGAAGTAGAAGGACTACAGCAGCAGAAGACCACACAGGGTGCCACTCTGTCAGCAGAAGACCACACCGGGTGTTCCACTCTGTCAGCAGAAAGACCACACAGGGTGCCACTCCTGATCAGCAGAAGACCACACGGGTTCCACTCCTGTAGCTATGAACAGGAAACAGAGGCTACGATTGCACACAGGCTTACCAAAATTGGGACAATAGAAGATTGGAGAAACGTTGCCGGGTCCGATGAGTCTGGATTTCAGCTGCAATAAGATGATGATGGTAGGGCCAGGAATTTGGTGTAAACAACATGGAAGCATGGATTCCATCCTGCCTTCTTTCAAATGTTCATGGATGTGCAGCCGACAAATCCGCAGCAACTGCGTGAAGCTATCATGTCAATTAGGGAGCAAAATCTCTGAGGAATGTTTCCTAACACCTTGTAGAATCTATGCCACAAGAATGAAGGCAAAAGCGGGTCCAACCTGGGACTGAGCAAGGTGGACCTCATAAAGTGGGCCGGTGAGTGTGTGTGTAGGTAATATTATTTTTGTCCCAACATAAAGTGATATTTCCACAAAAAAACCCTCACTTATAACTAATCAATATAACCTACCTGAAAAAGTTGGAGCAGATATAACATGGGGATCAATGAATGCCACCAGCCCTAAACCCCCCCAAGATGGAATCTGGAGATGCAAGCTGTAAAAATAAATAAAAATCCGCATAAGGAAACGGGGAGCATAACCACATTGCACACAATTCCCACCTCTAATTTGCCCCCCATCTGTCATATTTTAGATGTATCATAAGTACCGCGTGTGTAGCACCATCCACCAAATATCCAAAGGCAACGATACAAGTGAGCCATCAGGGTATGAAGACACTAAACACAGACCACCAAATGAATCAGTTAGTTAAATCTTCAACCCAAAAACCTGCAAGTATCCACCTCAAAACACTCGCTTCTAGGGATGGGAAAACTCCCAATCACCAAAAGATATCCCTGCTGACTTACGGACCAGCGTGAACGTCACTTCTGGTGCGGGCGCGTGTAATGACGTCACTTCCAGTGCGGCACAGACAGCACCGAAACTGCTACATTTGGTTTCTGGGTTTATAAGAACCCTGGTCATGCAAAGGGTAAGTACAACTGTGAGCCCCTGACTTTTTTACATTTTATGAAAGACATTAATAACATTTTTTAGTCAACTAGAAATGTCCCAGGAATACAAAAAGTGTTAAATTTCAGAATGATGCCCGGATCAACTGTAAGTGATAATAAGACCTCAGAAGTGCTCCATGAGATCTTTGTTCCTCAGGGCTGTAGATCAGAGGATTCAGCAATGGGTTAATTGAGGGCAGATATGACTGTAGACAGTTTATTTAAAATGGCCCATATTGCTGGAAGATGGAACAAAAGTAAATAAAAATTAAAGATCCATAAAAGATGAAGACCACGGTGAGGTGTGAGGTGCAGGTGGAGAACGCTTTCCTCTTTCCAGTCTTGCTACGGATTCTGAGGATGGTACTAAGAATATAGACATATGGAAGAAAGGTCATAAGAATGATTCCTAATCCAAAAGTAGCACCTGTTAAGAATATGACCACCATGTTTATGAAGGGGTCAGTACATGTAATTTGAATCACATGAGGAAGGTCACAAAAGAAGTTGTGGATGGAAGCTGGTCCGCAGAAGGACAACCTGAGCAACAGTAAAAGTATGAACCAAAGAGACAGAACATCCTACAACCCAGATCATGGAGGCCATACGAGCACAGACCCTCCAAGACATCATTAGTTTGTAATGTAGGGGGCGGCAGATGGCAATGTAGCGGTCGTAGGACATAGCCGAGAGCAAGGAAAGTTCTGAGCAAGCAAAGCAGAGATAGAAAAAGACTTGGGCTGTACAGGCAGGAATGGATAATTGATTGAATTTTTGTGACCAAGTCATATGAGCATCCTCGGTGCGGTCACTGATGAATAGGAAATGTCCAGAAATGCCAAGTTGGCAAAGAAAAAAAATTACATTGGGTTTGTGCAGATGGGAGTCAGTGAGGACCAAGAAAAATATAAGGAGGTTTGTGATAAGAGTCATCAGATAGATCAGAAGGAAAAGCCCAAAAGTGCATTCATGGTCAGTGGGTGGTCTGATAGACCTACGAGGGTAAAAGAGGAAATCTCTGTCAGATTCCTCATATTATTCATTTTTCTTTCTCTCTGTTTTATGTATCACTATAGAACAGTAATAAAATTACGGATCTGAGGATTTATTAATAGACAAACCTGTACGGAGTGCCTACACATTACACTCAGGTTTACATGCCGACATTTCTGGCAGCTAATGATGTATTCTTATATAAGATGTTGGCAGTCCCGGCAGTTTATCAGAGAGATCAGATGGAAGAGCACACAAAGTGTATTCGTGGTCAGTGGATGGTCTGATGGACCCACAAAAGGTAATCTCTGCAGATTCCTTGTATTAATCTTTGTTTTTAGTTTATCAGCATAAAGCAGTCATAAGATGATCAGTCTGAGGATTTATAAATAGGAATACAAAAATATATGTTGTGCCTGCACATGATACTCAGGTTCACCTGGAGACATTTGTATTTGAATTTAAAATCCACTGTAAGTATTTTTATAGTTTTATCACCTCTATTACTTCTTGGTTAGTGGACAGAGGGACCTAACACACTACAAAAGGAACACGGCTTTTTCTTTTAGCTTCCATCATTTTGTAGTTACATTTTATAAGGTTTGCCATTAGAGATGAGCGAAGAAATGAAAAATTCGATTCGACTGATTCGGCGAATTCGTGGACAATATTCGATTCGAGTCGAATAAATTCGCTGTGAATTTAACTTAAAAAAGGGTGTTTCTAGGCTTCAGAGAGACTTAATATTAGTGCAGAACACTGTACCTTTAATTTAAATGCCTTGGAGTCTGCTGGGGAAGGAGAAATAATACTGTCAGTCAGTATGACATGCAGATGAGTGCCGTCGATCTTAGAATCACCGCACACTTCACTCATTTGGCCAGTCACGGGGCCAAAACCAGTGTTTGGAGCCACAGTGTGGCGGTGGAGGCAGCAGCAATGGGAGGCCATACAGCACCCTATGACAAAATGGAAACCAGCAGGAGTGTGAGGAGACCTGAAAGTGGCACATGCAGAGTGGGAGCAATGGGAGGCGGTGGGAGGCGGTACAAGGACCCATGTCACACTGTGGACCCAGCAGCAGCGTGACCAGGCGGTACGGGGGCCCATGGCAGATTACAGGCCTGGCAGCAGCAATGGGAGGCCCGTAATCTGCCAGCACCCTATGATGTCAAAAAAATGGAACACACCAGCAGTGTGTGAGGAGACCTGAAAGTGGCACATGGCAGAGTGTGGCGATGGAGACAGCAGCAATGGGAGGCCGTACAGGGGGACCCATGAGAGACTCTGGACTTGGCAGCAGCATGAGGAGGCGGGTATATAGGGGCCTATGGCAGATTAGGGGCCTGGCAGCAGCAATGGGAGGCCCGTAATCTGCCAGCACCCTATGTCAAAAAATTCTACACACCAGCAGTGTGTGAGGAGACCTGAAAGTGGCACATGGCAGAGTGTGGCGATGGAGACAGCAGCAATGGGAGGCCGTACAGGGACCCATGAGAGACTCTGGACCTGGCAGCAGCATGAGGAGGCGGTATATAGGGGCCTATGGCAGATTAGGGGCCTGGCAGCAGCTATGGGAGGCCGTAATCTGCCAGCACCCTATGTCAAAAAATTCTACACACCAGCAGTGTGTGAGGAGACCTGAAAGTGGCACATGGCAGAGTGTGGCGATGGAGACAGCAGCAATGGGAGGCCGTACAGGGACCCATGAGAGACTCTGGACCTGGCAGCAGCATGAGGAGGCGGTATATAGGGGCCTATGGCAGATTAGGGGCCTGGCAGCAGCTATGGGAGGCCCGTAATCTGCCAGCACCCTATGTCAAAAAATTCTACACACCAGCAGTGTGTGAGGAGACCTGAAAGTGGCACATGGCAGAGTGTGGCGATGGAGACAGCAGCAATGGGAGGCCGTACAGGGACCCATGAGAGACTCTGGACTTGGCAGCAGCATGAGGAGGCGGTATATAGGGGCCCATGGCAGATTAGGGGCCTGGCAGCAGCTATAGGAGGCCCATAATCTGCCAGCACCCTATGTCAAAAAATTCAACACACCAGCAGTGTGTGAGGAGACCTGAAAGTGGCACATGTTTGAGGCATGATTCATGGCGGATTTAGTCAGTTGTGTCAGGAACTGGTGGTTTGAAATCCAGACTAATCCACGCCTGATTCATTTTCACAAACGTGAGTCTCTCCACACTTTGGGTGGACAGTCGTGTCCTCCGCGGAGTTACAATACCTCCTGCCGCACTAAACACGCGCTCCGATGCCACGCTACTGGCCGGGCATGACAGCCTTTCAAGGGCAAATTCAGCTAGTTGGGGCCAAAGGTCAAGTTTCGTTGCCCAGTAGTCAAGGGGATTGTCTACCTCGGTTGGCAGGGTGCTGTCCAAGTAGGCCCAAGCCTGTTGTTTGAGCTCCTGCTCCAGGTCCACCTGATGCTGCTGCTGCTGCTGCTGCGGGCTGGTTAGTAGTTTCCTCACTGCGCTGGTGAAGAAAGCTACTCATCATCGACTGCAGACTGAGGCAGCCGCTGCTGGTGGAGCTGCCACTGCTCCTACCACCCCACCCCTCCCCTGCTGCCATGGCAGCGGAACGCAGAGCGCACAGGGCCCACAGTGTCTGAGGATGGACGTTGGCGCACAAAGGCAGAGACCAAACTGACTACATAGGTGGTTTTTATAGTACGTTATTTTGGCCTCCCTCTCAGCAGGTGTGAAAAAAGGCCACCATTTTTGAACGGTAGCGAGGGTCCAACAAGGTGGACAGCCAAAAGTCATCCCTCTGTCTGATGGTTATTATTCGGCTGTCGCTGCGCACGCAAGCAACCGAGCATGCTATGGGCCATTTGTGCCAAGGAATGCGAGGGACTCCCTGCCTCCATCTCCACAGCATACTGCCACGGTGCGTCTGGGTCCTCTGTCTCCTCCTCCTCCTCCTCTACCAGATGCTCCCTGCTCCTCCACTCCTGTCCGCTGAGTGGAAAAAAAACCACCCATTTCACTCAATAATTCCTGAGCACAAATGTCCTCCTCTACCTCCTCCTCTTCTTCCTGTCCTGCCCCCACAGGGGTCATGTGGCGTTGAGATCTGTGCGCCACGTCTACCGCACCCTGACCAGCCATTGTTAACAGCATTTGTTCCAGGACGTGCAACAGAGGAATGACGTCGTTCATCCCATAGTCTCCTGCCGACTCACGAATAGCGTGGCCTCCTCAAAGGGCCTGAGCAAGCGGCAGGTGTCACGCATGAGCTGCCAATGGCTGACATCTAAGTTACACAGGGGAGTACCTTTTATCCGCTTGTAACATCAGGAAATCGGTGATGGCCTTTCGCTGCTGTTCGTAAAGGCGGCGGTCTAACATGTGTAGGGTTGAATTCCACCTTGTTGCAACGTCGCAGATCAGGCGATGCTGTGGAATTCCGTTCTGCCGCTGCAGCTCAAGGAGGGTGTGCTTTGCGGTGTAGGAATGGCTGAAATGCATGCAAAGTTTACGTGACATTTTAAGGATGTCTTGCAGTGGGATGGTGGATTTTAGGAACCGCTTGACAACCAGATTGAACACGTGAGCCATGCATGGCGCATGGCACAACCTTCCTTGACGCAGAGCAGACACCATGTTCTTTCCGTTGTCGGTCAACATGGTTCCGATTTTCAGTTTGCGCGGAGGAGACAGCCATCTGTCGATTTCTCTGTTCATTACACTCAGAAGTTCCTCCCCTGTGTGACTACGTTCGCCAAGGCATACCAGGTGCAGCACAGCGTGACACCGTTGCGCCCTGCACATGTGATATGCCGGTCGGGTAATGGGACTTGGCACACGGGGGTGGCGGCTGAGGACACGGCGGAAGAAGAGGTGGTAGAGGCGGACATCTTTGCCAGGGCACCAAGGACGTGCAAACGTGGAGGCAAAAGCGGCGTGACCTGTCCAAGTTGCTGGTGCGGCTGTGACGGCACCACGTTCACCCAGTGGGCCGTAAATGACATGTACTGTCCCTGACCGTAGTTACAGCTCCACACGTCGGCGCTGCCGTGCACTTTGGCAGAGACCGACATGCTCAAAGACTGGCCCACCATCTCTTCTACATGTGAATGCAGGGCTGGCACTGCCTTTTTGGCGAAGAAATGACGGCTTGGCACTCTCCACCGCGGCGCGGCACAAGCCATCATTTCTCGGAAAGGTGCTGAGTCCACCAGTTGGAAAGGGAGGGACTGCAGCACCAGCAGCAACTTGGACAGGAGGAGGTTCAGCTTTTGCACCTATGGGTGCGTGCGTGCTCGCAAACTGTTGTCTCTTGGAAACGGATTCCAAGAAAGACTGCTGACGGAATCCGTGAAGAGGAGTAGCAGGAGAAGGAAGCATCTGAACGAGCGGAAGATGCCAACGAGCGAGCAACTCCCCTCAGCAGAGGTGTTGGAGCCTTGACTGGCTGATGGAGGGCGCGATTGACGTCGTCGGGTGACGGCAGCAAGTTAACGGAGCGGGTGATGGAGCGGGGGGCTGGGGCGGGCAGAAACGCCGTATCTTTATCACGGTTTTCCCAGGCCACCAAATGGCGACGCTGCATATGCTGCCGCAACGCTGTAGTCCCACCAACATGGGCCCCCTGGCCACGCTTGACTTTCTGGCCACATAGTCGACATAGGCTACGTTTACTTCCTCGGGCGGCTTGACGAAAAATTGCCACACCGCCGAGTAGGAAACTTTGCCCCCGTACTACTCCTCACTGGCTGACTGCTACTTCCTCCGTGCACACCGGCACCACTACTGGCCGTGGTGGTAGGCTGCAGTGGAGCTGGTGCTCTACTCCGTGGCCGTTTGGCTCCACTGACACTGCTTCCACTGACACTGCTGCGACCCTGCTGCTGTCTCCTGGGCAACCCACCGACTGTTTCGCTCACTGCCAAGCTGCCACCCCTCTCTTCTCCTGATGATGCGGAAGAAATTGCCTGATGACGACGAGGCTGCCAAGTGCGATCAACCTCCTCATCATCAAGTAGGGTCTCCGCCTCACTACTAGCCCCCTCGGCTGCGTCTGGGTCAGGAGACAGACCTGTCTCTAGACCGGCTACCGGGCCACTCTCCTCGCCACTACTTCTTCGCCTGGCTGCTGAAAAGGCGGATGTCTCCCCCCCGTTCCTGACCGCCCTCTGTTAGCTCTTCCTCACTGTACAGTGGGGCTGAGCCCACAGCATGCGATACTTCGCTTGGTGAGGGAACAGCAAAGGACAGGGGCAGGTAGAGGACACGTGATTTCAGTGGGCTTGATCCCGGGCCATGCCAACTAACGGTTGTGTCTGACGTACCCACCGACCGTTGGCTGTAGGTGTCAGAGGTGACCTGGGAAGAGGAAGACGACCGAGCCAACCAATCGATGACGGCAGGGTTGTCGGTGGAGACACGACCGCTGGATGACACCCGGGAGCACTGGCCTCTGGCTGCGAATAGTGCTGCCTCGACCCCTTCCTCTGCTGCCACGTCTGCTCGCTCCTAAAACATTGCCTCCTCTGCCACTCCTCTGCATGTTGTCTGACATACTCTTTAATTCAACGATTATGTGTGTCCCTGAGTAACAATTCTGTGTCCCTGAGTAACAATTCTGTGTCTGTGCGAGTAAACAATTCTGTGGCCCTAAGTAACAGTTCTGTGGCCCTCAGTAACAATTCTGTGTCTGTGCGAGTAACAATTCTGTGGCCCTAAGTAACAGTTCTGTGGCCCTCAGTAACAATTCTGTGTCCCTGATTAACGTTTCTGTGGCCCCAAGTAACAGTTCTGTGGCCCTCAGTAACAATTCTGTGTCTGTGCGAGTAACAAATTCTGTGTCTGTGCGAGTAACAATTCTGTGGCCTAAGTAACAGTTCTGTGGCCCTCAGTAACAATTCTGTGTCCCTGATTAACGTTTCTGTGGCCCCAAGTAACAGTTCTGTGGCCCTCAGTAACAATTCTGTGTCTGTGCGAGTAACAATTCTGTGTCTGTGCGAGTAACAATTCTGTGGCCCTAAGTAACAGTTCTGTGGCCCTCAGTAACAATTCTGTGTCCCTGATTAACAATTTCTGTGGCCCCAAGTAACAGTTCTGTGGCCCTCAGTAACAATTCTGTGTCTGTGCGAGTAACAATTCTGTGTCTGTGCGAGTAACAATTCTGTGGCCCTAAGTAACAGTTCTGTGGCCCTCAGTAACAATTCTGTCTGTCCCTGAGTAACAATTCTGTGGCCCCAAGTAACAGTTCTGTGGCCCTCAGTAACAATTCTGTGTCTGTGCGAGTAACAATTCTGTGTCTGTGCGAGTAACAATTCTGTGGCCCTAAACAGTTCTGTGGCCCTCAGTAACAATTCTGTGTCCCTGATTAACGTTTCTGTGGCCCCAAGTAACAGTTCTGTGGCCCTCAGTAACAATTCTGTGTCTGTGCGAGTAACAATTCTGTGTCTGTGCGAGTAACAATTCTGTGGCCCTAAGTAAACAGTTCTGTGGCCCTCAGTAACAATTCTGTGTCCCTGATATCGTTTCTGTGGCCCCAAGTAACAGTTTCTGTGGCCCTCAGTAACAATTCTGTGTCTGTGCGAGTAACAATTCTGTGTCTGTGCGAGTAACAATTCTGTGGCCCTAAGTAACAGTTCTGTGGCCCTCAGTAACAGTTCTGTGTCCCTGAGTAACAATTCTGTGTCTGTGCGAGTAACAATTCTGTGGCCCTAGTAACAGTTCTGTGGCCCTCAGTAACAATTCTGTGTCTGTGCGAGTAACAATTCTGTGGCCCTAAGTAACAGTTCTGTGGCCCTAAGTAACAATTCTGTCCCCTGAGTAACAATTCTGTGTCTGTGCGAGTAACAATTCTGTGTCTGTGCGAGTAACAATTCTGTGGCCCTAAGTAACAG